TTCACTAACATTTCTTCAATTTCCCCCAAGCGGTGGATTCCTCTTGGTATACCTGTGTCTTCTGGAACCTGTTTCCTTCCTGTTCCTGTCATTTAGCTGGAGTCAGCCTGCGTGAATAATAGGCTGGCACCCTCCAAATGCCATCATGCGTGTGCATGCACACATATGTGTGTGCTCCCTCATCCATCACTGCAAATGCAGTTGGATTGGAACCTGTCTTTTAAAATTGCCCTCAAACTGAGGCCATAAACCAAATGTAATTATTTATGTTTCTCAAAAACAAGAGGAAAGTTTTTTTAAAGCCACACACACACACACACACACATGCAAAATCCATGTATTGGCTGCTGCCTAAGGAAAACAATTATGATCGTATCTCTAAAGCATTTGCTCCATTTCAGGCAAAATGTGGTTCTGGGATTGAGCACAGCCTAGCTGCAGTATGGTTTGGGGCTAAACTATATTGTCATGTGTGGAAGGGTCTCTTACTCCCTGCTGTTCTGAAAAATAATGACGTTTTGGGACATACCTTATTCTCCTCTAGACCAAACAACCTGTTTTCCTAAACTAACCTTAATCCTGGAGCAGGGGCTAAGCCTTTACTTTTTATTACATTCAAGTATTTGTAAGAAAATGGACCAGGATAAAGTGTTAGTGTCATTCCTTTGGCTTCTATGGGGATCTGGGAGCATCCTAACTCTCAGTGGGCTTTCCAAGGATAAGCTTTCTCTGGCTGAAGGCTGGGTTTTTTTTAGATTTTAGCTTGCTTTCACATAAGTGATTTCATCTAATATTTTCGTCGATCCTGTAAGTTTTAGGAATAGGAGAGGAACTGATTATGACCCTTCAACGAGTGAGAAAATTGAAGACCAGACGTACAGTGTGGTGGAAGGAGACCCAAAGATAAGTCTCCTGAGTGATGCCCCAGATCTGCTTTGCTATGCATGGCAACCTCTTCTAGATAAGGTCTGCTTCAAACAGAATATTCCAGCCTGGAGGCTTGTAGACTTGTGCTTTTCTCTGCCTGGAAGGGTCTTAATCTTCACTTGGCCGGCTGTCTTCTCCCCACTCAGTCTCCCCTCGGATGCCACTGGTGCAGAGAGCAGTCTCTGACCCCTTAACAAATATTTCTCCCTCTTCTCTACCATTCAGTCAATCACATCACCCCTTTCTCTTTGACAGCACTGAAGTTATCTTCTGTATTTACTTCTTCAAGTATTTCTGTTCAGTCTTCCCTCCTTCTATAAGGTATACCATGTGAAAGCCAAGAGTGTGTCTCTCCTATTCATTCCCAGTTATAGCCAGCACTTTAAATATGATGTGGCACATGGAAAATATTTAATAAATGTTTGCTGGTTAAATGACTTTCCAGGGGAAGTCAGTTAATTGCACACTGTTAATCTGAAAAAAATATCATGTCTGGGAAAGGCCCTGTACTAGAAGTCAGAAGACCCAGGGTTCTCACGGAACTTCCCACTATCTGAAAGTAACCATGGCTTAAAAAACTGGGTCTGTGTGGCAGGATCTGATTGAGACACCCTCTGTCACTTTATCAGGACTGATCTGCAACTTCCCCCAAACTCTGATGTGCAACCAACCTTTAAATTCATCCAAAGTTAATCTTTCTTCTTCTAATTGTTTCCTCACAGTGAAAACTTCTAATAATGCCCATTTGTGGGCATAGAGAAAATAAATGGCTTTACGAAAATTATGGACTCAAATATTTACTAGCCTGTGAGGGGGCAGTTCGTGAAGTCTAATTCAGAGTATTACACCTATCTAACTACAGGGAGTCTAATATTTTCCCACATTTCCTTGTCTACATAGTTTTAGAAATTCTCCAGGAAATGCTTATGATTCTCACATCTGCCTTCTTTGTGGCTTGCCACACTTCTGTGCTGTGTTGTTCCAAATCTCCTCTTTCCATCTTAAAATCATTCAGCTCCCTGAAACTGTGGAGGCCTAGACATAGCTCTTAAGAGGGAGCTTACCAGGAGAGAGCAGGCAAAAATGGCAACACAACAAGCAAGCAATGAAAGCTATGGCTGTTTTCAGAATCCACAAATGTCTTCCGCTGGGAACTTCTCTGACTTCTTTCTTTCCTTTTCTTTTTTTTTCTACCTTCTTAAAGTAGAAGCTTAAGTCATTGATTCTAGATCTTTTTCCTTTTCTCACATAGAAAGTATAACGTTTCTAAGTACACTTTATACATTTATAAAGTATAAATTTCCTATACCACTACCTAATGAAGTGCATTAGCTCCAACCCACAAATTTTGATCAGCTGTGCTTTTTCATTCAGTTACAAATATTTTGATTTTTTTCCTTTATTTATAAATTAGCAATGCATGATTTAATTTTCAAGTATTGGGGGATTTTACTAGTATCCTTTTGAAATTAACTTCTGGTTTAATTTTATTACATTCAGATGTCAATGCTTTTAAATTTATTTAGGTTTTATGACCCAGAATAGAAGCTGTCTTGGTAAGTGCTCCATGTGTACTTTCAGAGAACGTACCTCACGCTGCTGTTGGGTAAGGTGTTTTCTCTATGTTCCATGTCTTTCTCCTTTTAAATTTTTTTAGTTTTTGTTTTTTGTATGGCCATCCTGCCCAATATTCCATAAATTTCAGTTAAGTAAAGTTAGCTGATAGCATTGTCTTCTTCATCCTTACTGACGTTTCTGTCTATTTGTTCTAATAAGAAATAGGAGTTTTGATATCTCTTACTATGCCTGTGGGGACTTGTCCACTTCTCTTTTGGTTCTATCAGTTTTTGCTCTATGTGTTTTATATACCTATTATTAGGTGCATACACATTTACAATTGTTAAATTTTCTATTTCTTACTATAAAACATCCCTCTTTATCTCTCACAATATTTCCTATTCTGAAGTCTTTCTTATCTGAAATTGATACTACTGAAACCACTTCAGCTTCTAATACTGTTTACATTATTGTTTCTATCCTTTTGCTTTTATCCTATCTCTTTCTGTGTAATGAAAATGAGTTTCTTATAGACCACATACACTTGGGTTCTAACTTCTAGCCAGCCTGATATTCTGTCTCTCAAGTTTAGGATTTAGAATACAATGGAAGGTACTTGTCAATGTTTGGTTCAAATTGCCGTCTTGCTATTGGCTTTGTTTATCATCTTTGTTCTTTCATCCTCCCCCTATCCTGCCTTTGTGCCTCTTTCCAATTGTGTTTCATAGTTTTGCCTCCTTTTTCTTCAGTTTTTAGCTCTTCATTTTATTTAATTTTTAGGTTTCCTTTATTGCCTATAAATGCATCTTTAATGTGCCACAGTCTATCTTCACATACCACTCTGAAAATATGTATAATATTAAAATTTTACATTAGTATACTGTTTCTTTTAAATCCCCATTGCAGCCTCTGCATCACTGTTATCAAAGGTTTGCATTAGAAATACCACATCCATTGTTATTAAATTTTCTTTAAACAGTAAATTCCCTCGTAAATTAACTCAGAATGAGAAAAAATATTTTATATATACTCACATGTTTGCTACATACTTGTTGCATTCAGCATTTGTTCTTTCTTTGTATAGATCCAAATTTCATCTGGTATTTTCTTTCAGCCGGCAGAACAGTCTTTAACATTTCTTATAGTACAAGTCTCTTCTGGCAATACATTTTATCAGATTTTGTTTTTCTGAAGAAAGAGATTTATTACACTTGCATTTCCAAAGAATATTTTTCCTGGCTATAGAATTCTAAAGTAACAGTGTTTTCTTTTTCTTTAAAGCTGCTGTTCCATTGCCCTCTACCTTGCATTGTTTCTCACAATGAAAAGTCAGTGATTTTTCTTATCATTTTTTCCTTCATACAATGTTTCCTTCTTTTGCTGTTTTCAAGATTTTTCTTCATCACTGATGTTTGATTACCCACATTGGGGAGTGTGTGTGTTTGTGTGTGTGTGTTTGTGTGTGTGTGTTTGTGTGTGTGTGTTTGTGTGTGTGTGTTTGTGTGTGTGTGTTTGTGTGTGTGTGTTTGACCTGGGTGGCACTTATTTAGCTTTTTGCATCTGTGGGTTTTCCCTTTTCCTCAAATGAGGAACATTTTGACCACGGTTTCTTCAAATTATTTTTGCTCTTTCCCTTTCCTCTCTCTTTCTGAGACTCTAAGTATAATTTTTTTAGACCACTATTGTTGACAAATAGGTTCTAAAGCCTACTCTTTTCACTTTTTTTCTTTATTTTATTTTTTCATTAAATCATAGCTGTGTATATTAATGCAATTATGGGGTACAATGTGCTGGTTTTATATACAACTTGAAATACTTTCATCAAACTGACAAGGGTACATGTTAAATCTATTAAGTGTAGAATATAAATGTCTTAACACAATAACTAAGAAAAGGTGGTGGAGGCTATGTTAACCAGTTTTTCTTTATTTTAAATAATTTCTGTTATGTCATTGCATTCATTGATTTTTTTTTCTTCTGAAGTGTCTAGTATGCTATTAATACAATGCAATGAAATTTTCATTTAAAAAATTTATTTTTCATCTCCAGGTGTTGTATTCATCATTTATATGTTCCATTTATCATTTTACTATGGCTCATGTTTCCTTTTAATACTTGAGTACATTTAATACATTCACAGTAGCTGTTTTAACATCCCTGTATGCTACTTTAATCATCTCCATTATTGATACATGTCTCTTTTGACTAATTATTTTTTCATTTAAATTGTTGGGGCTCTTTTCTTGGTCTGTACAGTTCTGTACAGGCATATTTTTCTCTGGCTCTTTTATAAAATTTTCCTAATCATTGATTTTTTGCAGTTTGCATCTGATACACCAAGGTGCTAACTTTTTGGTGTCCCATGGTTTGATGTTATTAATTCTGGAAATTTCTCCATTGTTATTAGTTCAAATAATTCCTCTGTTTCTTTCTCTTCTTCTTCATCTTCTGGTATTCTTATTGCATGTATGTCAACATTATGCACTTCAACTTTTTCTTTTTCTTCCTTTTCTTTCTGTTCTCTCAGATTTTCAATGTTGACATACTTTCTGTACACATAGGAGTCTTCAGCTTTATCAAAGTGTCATCATACACTGCATTTCAATTTTGGAAGTTTCTATCAGCTTCTTCAAGCTCACTGATTTTTCCCTTGGCTGTTTCCTGTCCACTGATAAGCCCATCAGAGTTATTTTTTTATTACATTTATAGTTTTTTTTTTAATTTTAGCATTTCCTTTTGATGCTTTCTGATATCTTAATAATCCTGACATTCCTTCTCTCTGTTTCCATTACCAGTCTGTTCTTATATATTGTCTGTTTTTTCCAACAGAACTCCTAGTATATTAATCATAGTTGCTTGAAGTTCCCAGTCTAATAATTCTAACACCTCTGCCATATCTAAATTTAATTCCAGTTCTTGCCCTGTCTCTTCACACTGTCTTTTTTTGTCTTTTAGTATACCTTGCAATGTTTTTATTGCAAGCTGCATATGATGTACTTGATAAGAGGAACTGAGAGGTAAGTAAGCATTTAGTATGAGGCATTATGTTTATGTGGCTAGAGCTTAGGCCGTATTTATTGTTTGCTGTAACTGTAGATGTCGCATACAAAAATTTCCTCTGGTGTATTTGCCTCCTCTGTTGTCTTTGAGTTTCCTTTGAGATTTCTTCTTAAGTAAGATCTGAAAAGTATAGTTCTTTCACTTGCATTTTCCTTTTTTTATGAAGAAGCCCTATTAATGTGATTGTAACATGCAGGGAGAGGGAAATCATTCTACAGTCCTATGATTTGGTCTCAGGCTTTTAGTGAGCCAGTGCCTCTGGACGGTGACATTCACAAGTGGTTTTCAATTGTATTTTGTTTTATTATTTTATTTTTTTGCTTCATCCTTTGGTGAGACAGGAAGGCCAGTGCAGCGTGGGTATTTTCCTTCCTCCAGGTCAGTTAGGCTTTGGTAAAACCACAGCTGGCTAGGCTATAATGAAATGCTCTCTTGATGGCAGGTCTTGCTAAGAACAACAAAATGCTCTGGATGTTTTTCAAAATGATGAGTTTTGAAGTGTGTGTGTGGCCCCTATGACTGTTCCTTCTCTACCCCTGAGGTTTTTAACTCTCAAACTTATCTACATTGAGCCTCCAGCAATTTGTCAATTGTAGATTGAATTTTTCTATCCCAATACTGGTTTTCATTAAGGTTTCTGCTCCTGGCCTTCTGCCGTGATAACTCGTGATTTTTCTCTGTCTTCCAGTTTGGGGGCCAGTGGTTTGTCATGTGGTCTCAATTTTCCATTGGTTTTAGGTAGAATTGTTGGTCAATTTTTTCTTGTGAGGATGGGAGTGATAACTTCCAAGCTCTTTACTTAGCAAACACAACCAGATACTTCTCCTGACTGCTTTTTACCCTTGTTAAGAATTAAACTTTTCTTCTTCATGGCATACTTAGTGATATTTTTATTGATTGATACTGGATATTATGACTTTATTTTCTAGAATGATGACTATTTTTATGTATCCTAAATGCTGGACTTTGCTTCTACTGGTAGTTAACTACTTTGCATATTGGTTTGACCCTTTTGAGTCTTGTTTTTTTATTTTTAAATTTGCATAGCAGTTTGACCCTTTTGAGTCTTGTTTTTTTATTTTTTTGATTGAGTCCAAGACTGGTTTAGATGTCCATTGTGCATCTTTGATGGATGTCCTTAGGGTTCACTCAGGTCTCTCCATTAGGATTTGTGATTTACATGATTTGACACCCTGTATAAACTCCAGGAATCATTGGCTTATAACTCCCTCTTCTGCCCCACAATTTGCTCTATCCTCAGGAGTTATTCTTTGTTTAGCTTTGTGAATGTCTCTCTTGCCTGTGCAGATTGGTCACAGATCCAAGGACAAGCATACACATATTTCTGGATTTATTTCTCTGTACATGTTCCTTCTCTCAGTGATCTGCTTTTCAAATCATAGGCACTTCAGCCTTTCTGAACTCCAATCACTGTATTCACCAACTCAGGGAAACCTCTGGACTATGTTTGGATTTCTAACCTGTGCCAAGGTTTTAAAATGTCTCCAGGCATAAAACCAGGGCAATTGTAGAGCTCACTCTATCTATTGCCTTTCAGACATCACAGTCCTATATTGTCTATTGTACAATGTCTAAAACAATTCTTTCATATATTTTGTCCAGTTTTCTCATTATTAACAAGGAGAGGGTATACCTGGACCCTTATACTCCCTTATGAGAAGGTAACTTTTATTCCAGGAGTGATTGACATCAGGAATGTCCATTCATTTAAGACCAATCTATACTAGGTCCCACAGAAATTAGGCCTTATTATCTGTATCTCCTCATTGACACTAGCACAAGGAACAACAAAATATATTTTTCAAAGTCTGGCTTATTCTGGAAAGTATCACATGTGATACTTCTGTAAAATAGTCAAGATTAAACTTTAGAATAAGGTCAATCCAATTTCTTTCAGGATCACTCCAACATCATCAAATGAAAGCACTACCTCTACATCTTCAGTTTCCTGGGACCTTTTGACTCCTGCCTCAATTATGGGAAAAGAACCCATACTCATCATCGGACTCTGATCAATATGTTTTGGAGATGAATCAATCTAAATCTTTACTTAGAAAATATATTTTTCCAAAGGGAAATATAATATGATATGAAGAAATGCTAACTAACGTGAGGATAGCTTTTTATAATACTATGGAGAACTGTTCAGCTTTGGGGTTCACATTTTCTTGAATCTCTCTATTTTCAAATTTGCTTTATCTTTGAAAAACTTCAAGGTTTATCAAAGTGAAGGGGTCTTTCAGTGAAGAGAACATCTACATAATGACTTTATGTTCACAAATCATATGAAAGGAGAATCAGAGAAAAGCCTGAAGCTTTTAAGTACAGCTCTTTCCAGAGTCTAACATCTCCAACAAAGTTTTAGAGATTCACAGGACTTATTCTAAGCTCTGGGTTAAATCACATTTTTTCTCTTCCTCCTGTAGTCTTTATAGAAAGGAAACTTTTCAAAGTAAATGGCCTAAGAAGGAATGTCCAATTATGAGATAAAAACACATGAAGATTTTTGCCTCTCTTTTGGATGTTTTCCTTATTTCTCCTATTTCGTTCAGAAGATTAATCTAATGTTGATGCTATATAATCAAAGTTATAAGTCAGCTTTAGAGGCATGATATTGAGCAAATTCTCAGATCTCCTTTCTCTTGTACAGAATAATAGTATTATGTAGCTCACAGGGATGTTTTGAAGATCGGGTGATTTTTGAAAAAGAGCCAAAAAAGGTAAATATGTATACATTTTATATATGATATAATACCTTTGCTTTTTATGATATTCTCAATTTAGTTTTATTGAGTTTGGTATTCATATAGTCTCTGCATGTATGTGTTCTAAGAAACATGTGAAAAAGTGTATCAGAAAATGTTTCACATGAAAGGTTTTTAAAATTTTAGTCTTCACTGATAGGAGATACATTATTTACTTAAAAAAAATCCTATGATGAGAGAACTAGATGTGGTCAGGCCTGTATGTGCGGAGAAGAATAGACTTAATGGTGTTGCTGTAATCCTAAATTTAGAGCTTGGTGATGACTTCATGAAAGATCAAAGTGTGTTAGTAGGCAGAAGTATCTGATTCTACCTCTTCCATGATCAATAGTTTTGCTTTTCTCTGAAGGAGAGGTGTTAGCAGAGAGTGATTCCACCATCAACTTTTTGTATTTCTTGATTACTTTTCCCCCAAAAAGCCTGAGTGCATATTGTGTTGGAAGCCTTGATGATGAATTCTGGTCATTCCTGCCCCCATCCATCCACACTCCTCTCTAATCTCCTCCCTTCAGTATGTGTTTGATTTAGTGATCCATTTCTAATGAACAGAATAAGGCAGAAGTGGGCAGTGCCTGTGGTAAAGTGGGTAGGGCACCAGCCCCATACACCAAGAGTGGTAGGTTCAAACCCAGCCCTGGCCAAACTGCAAAAAAAAAAAAAATAGCCAAGCATTGTGGTGGGCACCTGTAATCCCAGCTACTCAGGAGGCTGAAGCAAGAGAATTGCCTAAGCCCAAGAGCTAGAGGTTGCTGTGAGTGGTGACACCATGGCACTCTACTGAGGGTGACAGAGTACGACTGTTTCAAAAAAAAAAAAAAAGAATAAGGCAGAAGTAACAAGGTGTTACTGTTAAGGCTACAAAAGACTGTAGCTTCTGTCTTGGGCTTCCCCTCTCTCATAACTTGCCCTCGGGAAGTAAGTAGTCCCTTGGAGAGGATCATATGGCAAGACCCTGAGGCCTACCCACAAACATGTGTATGAGCTTGGAAATGGATCTTTCCCCATTTGATTCTTCAGATAATAACCACATCTTGCTGTAACTTTGATATGGATGTTGAGACAGAGGCATACAGCTAAGCCATCTTTGGATTCTTGTCCTACAGAAATTGTTTTATTATTTAAATTCTTACATTTTGAGGGAATTTTTTATGCAGAAATAGATATCTAGTACAAGGATATATGTAAAATTATGATAAAAGCAAAACCTCTCTGACTAAACAAAAGATCTATTCATCCATGTTTCTATGGGTTGGAAAACTTGGGTGCTAGTTCTGCCTCTATCACTAACCAGTTATTATGCAAATTTTATTTTCTTTACAGCCTTCTGTTTTCCATTTTTAAAAATATGATATTGCATTAGCTTATTTGTTTTTATTTTAAGTAAATTTATTTCGGATTAATGTCAGGGTACAAACAACCAGTTCAAAATATTTGATTTTGTTAGGTAAAGTTCATTTTGTGGCTATGTCCCACACACAAAAGGTGTGCAAACCCACATCACCCCATGCCCATTCAGTCAGAGCACCTGAATCCTCTCCCCTTCCCTTGTTACCCCTTCTCTCCAACTTGGATTGAAATGAGTTTTTCTCCTTTTTGGGTATACTACTGGTCATCTACTGGTGCCATATTAGTACTGACTACATTGGATATTTGCTTTTCCAGTCTTGTGATACTTTACTAAGAAGAATGTGTCTCACCTCCATCCAGGCTATTACAAAAGATGTGAAGTCACTATCTTTTTATGGCTGAA